TATAGAAAAAAAAAAAACCTTTTTCCCCCCCCTCCACACAAAAACCTTATTTACCGTAAGGGTGCCCTTTCCTGCTGGCTTTCCCTGCTCCAATTCCAGTGGTCGGGTGAACACTGAGCTGGACACAACCTAAGGTTAGAAGAGAGAAAATATAAATATCAAGTTAGGAAGGAGAAAAGAATTACTTTTCAGGAGCAACATTTTCAAACTCTCCTAAGAGATCCAAAAGGATTCAAATGCATTTCCAACAGTGGCAGCCATCAGAGTTTGTGCTCCTGAGTGGCTGAACATTCTGAAAATTATCTTCTCTCACTATCCACAAAACAGCACTACATGTCTCCAAACTTAACTATCGCCCTCTATTTTTGCTGCCCCCAAGACACACCAGGCATTTTCACCACAAGTAGCCAAAAAGCTACTAAAAGTCAGAAAAGACTATTTAATTTACCAGGTCTGTCTCGATTGCTACTTTTCTTCTCCAACCTAGCTATACAAGCCCCCCCCGAGGAAAGGCACACAGAATCTCAAATAGCCTTTTTTCCCAGATTCCGTGCCTGATGATCACCTTGTCCAAAGGCAACTCCACTGCAGCTCTCCAAGCACCATGGCTTCCTTGCTCCCAGACTGCCTTTAGTTCTGCAAGTGCCTCCTAAGCAAAGCCATTAACTGCAAACCACGTATCTGTCCAGCCTTCGGTTTGCAACGCACACAGTGATTTTTCTAACTGTGTTCAATCGCAACACAAATTAACCTGTTCAGTAAGAGGTTTTCAAATTTGGATGTGCCGAAGCCTTTGATAAAGCAGTCTTCCCACCAATTTTTCATAATAAACCCCATGCTTGCTGCTGCTTTGGAGATCACTTCACACCTCTACGCATACCTGCCCCAGCGTGCACTCGACCCCTCCGAGGTAGTCATCGTCATTCAAATCAAAGGACTTGTTATCGATATCATACACGCCGAATTTCAGCTTCTGCACTTTCTCAAAGTAGTAGTCCACAACAAATTTCTTGCAGAAGTCGGGGTTTTGGCAGTTCTTGATCCTCTCCGTGCGATCCAGCTGCACAAACAGGGAAGCCAAGCTCTTAATGACCGGTCAGAACCGCGCCTCCCCCCTCACAGCTGCTCAGCCACGCTCCCGACGACC